GTTGTGATTGAGTGGTATCAAATCTTGGTGAAATATTAATAATAGGGTGGTGTCTGAATTATACTTAGATTTAATAGACAGTGCCTCCAGCCGATTACGGCAAATAATAAATAACTTAACAACCAGTATGAATTCAGTTCAGACACTTGATAATACACCCCAAACCACTTCCCTGAGTTCTTTGAGCTTATGGTGATTTCTTACCACAATATATAAATATCTCCCAATTACACTAATAAATCAAAATAATTTATTAATATACGAGTATAATCATATATTTCTGTACAAAACATAAATTACTGGTGATTACAGGTCAAACACACAATCAATGAAATAAATGTAAATAAATTATCAGAAAAATAAAAATACCTGGACACCATTAAGATTGTTTCTTATTCTCCGTGGCCATAGGAAATAAAGAAACGTCTCTCGAAAGTAAATGCCCTTGTGATCCTAATGATTTCTAAAGATAATAGGTTTGCTAGTATAATAGGGACAGCAAGCAAAACAGGCTAGTATACCTACAATGGCAACGAGTTACATACAAATCTGTACCCAATTTAACCATACACAATACAATCTCAGGAATAAAATAGAGAAAGATATTAAAAATTATCACAAGAATTCACCCTGCACACGGTTAATTAGAATTGTAAAACAAACTAATAATGAAATGTAATCGCTATAATTTTGGAATAAAGAAAGTTAATTCTTCATATATGATCAATATCTCACCAATCCTTCAAAAGAAAATGTTCAGAGTCTTATTGGATGAGATGATGGCTTGTTTTAGGCAGCAAGGGTTAATGAGTGACAGTCCTTATGTTACATCCAGGAAGTTTTCTTCAGACTCTTCCTTCTCTCTCCGTCCTCCCTCTTTTCCTCTTTTGGAAGTCTCTCATGGTATTTTATATGGTTGGGAAGCATTGTTCGTATTGACGACTCCCCAGCCACTATTTGCTTTCTTCCTATTGATCGGTTCAGAAATGGTAGTTGATTGGTATGATTTACTCATATCGTTTGCGTTCAGTTGAGTAAGCCTTGGATGTGTTTGATAACTTACTCAACCTCAGACAATAATCATAGGTGATATCAATCTTGAAACAATCGGGCGAATTAGCTGTCTTGGAGTTTTTATGTTTCTTGGTAAATTTTTCATATGGGGCAAAGATATCCTTAATCCGGGTCTTTCTTGTTTAATTTCTTTTATTTACTGACCTTGAAGTCTTAAAGGTCTTTCAGCATTGTCAATTGTGATTCCATGGTTACTCAAATCTTAGACTTCATTTACAATGTTTATCTCTTTGAATTTAGTTGGTTAGTACAATAGCTGGTTCCTCAAGGGAATTGTTTGTGTCTTGCTTCATTTGTACACAATAGGCTATTTTGGTTGATTAACTTATCTGTCCAGCACAGACTTCTGGACCCTTGCACAGAAAAGTTTGATTTAGTTTCTGTACAAGTCCTAGTTCATCAGGTTTTGTAATTTTATATAGAAATACCCTGACATATTGCAATGGGGATACACCATTGCAGGGGATGTGGCGCAGAGTAAGGTGGACAGCAACATTGATACTATCAGGTAACCTTTTTTGGCAAAATCCTTTATGGACTCATCTGTGGAGATATTTGATTAACTTTAGCCCTATAATTCTATCACCTTAGGACAAGATGCCATTTATGGCTGATTTGGGGAATTTATGCACTGATTAAATGTACATTGTGGCTGAGAAGTTTATATGAAGGGTTTAAAGTTTCTTTGACTCCATCTGGCCATCATAACATGACAACAGCACCCATTTATATGGGTAAGTAAGGTGGCCAACCATTGATTATTATAACCCCACACACCATACAATTACATAGTATCATCCCTGCTGATCTGCAGTCAGGGGCTGACTGGCAACTTTTAGCCCAGGGGGCAAGTACAGCCCATAGGCCCACGGTGCAGCGACTTGGCCCCCCTCCCGCTCTGCCTCTCCCTCCGCCCCTACCTGACACTTTTACCATCCATGTGACGGTAGTGTGAATGGTCGGGTGATGTGAGGGGTCACTAGGAAGTCCATGAAAGGGGTGACTGGCTTGGGAATGGCACTCTCCTCCTGCTGGGCTCCCTACATGGTTCTGGCCTAAATCCGCTGCATGTCCGGTACTTAGGCACTCTTATCCAGTGTAGGCCACTTCTGGGCTGTGAGCTGTCGGGAGGATAGTGGGAGGAGCCAGACATCGTCAGTGGTGTAATGTTGAGGTCAGCATGTCATACAGAAAGAAAAGGGACTTACAGTTGATCTGATTTCCTGATGCAGGTGCTCTGAGTCTGACCTCTTCTTCTGCTGCTGGTGATGGTGGGGGAGCAGCGATGTTGCCCGCGCGTCCAGCCGACTCGTGGTGCCCCCCCTTTAGGTCCCGAGTAGCTGGCCAATTGCAGTTCTGCAGTCTGCCTCTACCGCTTATGGCATCTGAGGTGGGCGGAGGCAGCGGCGGGCTGACAAAACATGGGGCCCCGGGCAATATGAGAGTTTGGGGCCCCCTTGTGCTCTGCCCACATACAAGCCACACCCACATATACATTCCTGCATCCCTATTCCCACACTGTTCATCTCTGTACCCCCTGCATCCCTCTTCCTAAACTGCTTACCTCTATACCCCCTGCATCCCTCTTTATACACTGTTCACATCTGCATTCCTCTTCCTACCCTGCCCACCTCTGCATCCCTCTTCCTACACTGTTCACCTCTGTACCCCCTGCATCCCTCTTTCTACACTGTTCCTCTGTACCCCCTGCATCCCTCTTTCTACACTGTTCAGCTCTGCACCTCCTGCATCCTTTTTCCTACACTGTACACCTCTGCACCCCCTGCATCCCTCTTCCTACACTGCCCACCTCTGCACCCCCTGCATCCCTCTTCCTACACTACTTCATCTTACTTTGCTAACCCACGTCCCCCTACTCTCTGCTAAGCTCTCTCCCCTTGCAGCTTACCTCTAGGTAGGACTCCTGCTCCTGATACCATGGGTTGTTGGTGGTGCAGGGGGTGGAGCCAAATGTGCTGGAAGTCTCCGGTCCTTCCTGCGGCTGAAGGCATTCTGATAGGTATGCCCAGTGGATGGCCCTGCCCCCCTAGTCATAGTGACGAGCTGATTGACAGGCACCTGTCCTCCTTCTATGCAGAGGAGCCTGGATCCCTGTAGGGAAGGAGGGGAAAAGCCTGCCAATCAAGTGGTTACGATGGCAGGTGGGCGGGACCATGAATATAGCCACAATGTGCTGAGCTACAAATTCATGCATTTACTTAAACTCCCTAAATAAATCTAACACCCACTTAGGTATAATATAACAAAAACACGTGTGAATTCAAAGTAATTAGAAAAACGTATCACATATAAAGCATCAAGTGTGAAATCAATCTAAAATAATGTGTATATATAGCAACACACTAAAGGGGTTAATATCACTCCCTCTGTGTCAGCAAAGTGCTGTAATTCAATATCCACCATCCAAATTGTATTAAAAAAACAGGACAAACAATTACTTAAACATGCTCAGTAAAGTGAGAAATGGTCTAGTGTCCACAACAAGAGCAAGTGCTTAAACAGTTAAACCAGTGCGGTATTTATGAAGTCCTCCTCCACCTTCCTGCAGACACACACCCTACTGTGGGGGGGAGGCTCACCTCAATTTACGACCCAAATTACAGGTCTTACAGCCTGATACCTTTATATATGTGAGGGATGCCCCAAACCCAGATGTTGCAGCCAGAGCCGACTCCTCTAACTCAAATGATAATGTGTCCTCTTATTGCGGGAGCATGACATACAATGTGTGTACATAGGCATACCGTAGTGTAGACCATTTAAAACAGGAGACTTTATTTAAATTTTACTCACAAGTGAAGTTCATCCAGCAGCATTAAAACCTGGGTGGGACCATCCTCCTTCACTACAGGCAGCTCGTGCTGCCTTCAGCCCCCCCTGCTAATTTGATGGGGCCTGCCAGGTGCAAGAGCACTGCCTGTAACATCCTGTCGGCACTATGGAGCCCTGGCCAGAGGAAGCTGCTGTGGCTGCCGAGTGCCGAGGAGCCCGCTTACAGAAGCGGGCACTGTCAAAGCCAGACAAGGAGCTCGGACGCTGCAGCCGCAGAGCAACCAAGAAGGGAGAAATTAAACAAGTGATCACGGCGGCGGCGGGGGCCGTTTTTAAAGTCATCAGAGAGGCCCGGGGGGCAATTGCCACACTGCCCCCCGGCCCAGTCCGCCCCCTGTCTGCAGTCCATCTATGCTGCTTGGTACTCTTGAGGTCATGTATTCAAATTTCCCTGCGCTATAAAGTGCAATTATATCAATCTCCTCCTATGTTTTGCAAATTAAATACAATATATTTTGTGTTAATAAATATGTGCCAATATAAATATATCAAACATTAAACATACAGTATATCCAAATCACCGTTTTGAAAAAAGGCCAACAATAACTATATCGGTCCAGGTTTATTACACAATACAGCTGCTTAAAAATATTTTTGAAATTGTTTTACAAAATTTTGGACAGTAGGCACCCACATAGTTTAGACAATGCTGGACCCCTGTGTGAAGAGACCCTTTTTATGTTCTTCCTGTGCTTGCATGAGTTTCCATCGAGTACTCCAGCTTTTTCCCCACACTTCAAAGATATGCTGGTAGGTTAATTGGCTGCTGTCTAAATTGTATGTGTGTGAGATAGGGACCCTATATTGTAAGCGCCTAGATTGTAAGCGCCTTGAGGGCAGGGACTAATGTGAATGTGGACTAGGTAAAGCACTGCGTAAATTGTCGGAACTATATAAATACCTATAATAAATAAATATTAAGGCAGCCAAGCTCAAATTTCTTTTTAAATTTCTGTTGACTGGTAGATGGTAAATTAGACACATGAGGTCATGAAACTTGCTGATTGCATTAATGGCCAATATCACCATTGGCTTCCATAAAGTTAAAGCCTTACTCTAGGTTGCAAACAACACTACAGTGACCTTTTTAATGATTTTATGAGTTGGTTTCGGAACCTCTTGCTTGCAAAATAATAAAGAATAGGGTTGATACAGCTATTTGAATAAGCTATACAAACAGTAATTGGAATAACGACATTAATGTTATGAATAGTCATGCAACTTGTAATTAGCTTGAATCGAGCTAATAACTTGAGCAAATTAACTATGTGAAATGGCAGCCAACATATGAAGAAAGCAAGCACCATTGCCACCACAGCCCTTAAAACGTTGTCACTTTTGGTTTTCTTACGCTTAGCTTTAGCTGATGCCAAAATTTTTTTGTATATCAAAACATAACATATTCCCTGAATGATAAAAGGAATGAAAAATCCCAATATAAACTTGACAGAGTATACGAAAATGTGCCAAAATAGGCTGTTTGGTGGGTACTTCATGGCACAAACGATCTGATGGGAGTAACTGGAATAGTAAGTCTGCCGAAAGAAGATTGTTGGAGTGCTCACAGCAATAGAGGAAAGCCAGACAAAAAGTATTATCATTTTGGCCTTGGTTAGAGTTCGCTTTCCATGAGCCTCTATTGGATGCACAATGCTATAATAGCGATCAGCGCCAAGACACGTGAGGAAAAAGATGCTGGCGTACATGTTCACTGATGACAATGTAGCACACAACTTACACATGCAAGAACCGAAGACCCATTTGTATTTAACTGACATATCTATAGCCCAGAATGGTAAAGTGGCAACAAAAGACAAGTCTGCAATAGCCAAGTTCACAATGTAAATATTTGCCACTGACTTGGCCTGAATACAACATGTCAGCCCCACAATGATAACTGTGTTTCCAACAATGCCTACCACAAAAAGGATCATGTATATTATTGGAATCAGAACAAATTGGTAAGAGGCATCATATCCGAGTGCAGAGCAGTTTGTGCTTCCTGTGTCACTGGAAACTCGGAGAGGAATGTATCCTATCGATACAGATGAGAGGTTGGAAAGTTGAAAATCCATTATTTCGACAGGTAATTTGTGTTCAATAGCCTGAAAATAGAAATGATTATATTCAATAAACACGTCATCACAATAGTTTGAAGTCATTGTATATTGTTGAGAGGATACAAATGTTTGCAATCATATTGTATATTACTGTAAAACACACACTTCTCTATTGACCGCTACTGGACCCACACACTTCTCTATTGACCGCCACTGGACCCACACACTTCTCTATTGACCGCCACTGGACCCACACACTTCTCTATTGACCGCCACTATACCCACACACTTCTCCTTTGACTGCCACAGCATCCACACACTTCTCCTTTGACTGCCACAGCACCCACACACTTCTCCTTTGACTGCCACAGCACCCACACACTTCTCCTTTGACTGCCACAGCACCCACACACTTCTCCTTTGACTGCCCCCACACACTTCTCCTTTGACTGCCCCCACACACTTCTCCTTTGACTGCCACTGCACCCACCTACTTCTCCATTGAATGCAACTGCACCCATGCACTTCTACATTGACTGCCACTGCAACCATGCACTTCTACATTGACTGCCACTGTGCCCACACACTTCTCAACTGATTTCCACTGTGCCCATGCAATTCTACACTGATTGCCACTGCACCCACACACTGTTCTATTGATTGCCAATTTACCTATACACTTCTCCACTGACTGCCACTAGTCCCACATAGTTCTTAATTTGCTATCATTGCACAAACATACTTCTCTATTGACTGCCACTGTACCCACACACTTCTCCACTGATTTCCAATGTGCCCATGCAATTCTCCACTGATTACCAATGCACTCACACAGTGCTCTGTTGATTGCCAATTTACCCATGCACTTCTCCACTTGTCACTTGTCACTGTACCCACACACTCCTCTATTGATTTCCACTGCATAAATGCAATTCTCCACTGATTACCACTGCACCCATGTACTTCTCTATTGACTGCCACTTTACTTATGCAATTCTCCAATGACTGCCACTGCATCGACACTACTCCACTGATTTCCACTGCACCCATGTAGTTATCTGCTGATTGCCATTGCAACCACACAATTTACCTCTGTGTACCACTGCACCCATGCAAATTTTCACCGATTGCCGTTGCAACTATACAATTTACCACTGTGTACCACTGCCCCCATGCACTTTTCCACTGATTACCACTACACCCATGAAATACTTTACTGATTGCCACTAAACAAACACACTTCTCTATTGATTCACTGTACCCTCACTTATTTCCACTGCCATTGCACCAACACAATTCTCTGCCGATTACTATTGGAACCATGCAGTTTTCAAAGTGCCACTGCGCCCATGTTATTCTCCACTGATTTCCACTACACCCATGCTATACTCCACTGATTGCCACTTTGCCCATGACATTTTCCAATGATTACCATTGCACTCATGCAATTCTTCACTGAGTGTCACTGCACCCACACACTTCTCCACTGACTGCCACTGCACCTGCGCACTTCACTGACACTTGTCCCTGTAATGGCATACCACAAACAAAAGACTGCTGGACTATGTACACTGTAATATACATCACATTCTCCAAACTGCTGAACTTGGTACACTATATTTTGATTTTTGTAAGATTCTTTAAAGCAAGTATCTTAAATTGTAATTCCAGCCAAAATAGTTTTTGTTTTGGACACAATGGAGAAGAGTTAGTTTTTCTGTCTTTGTCCCTGTGGTGGAGATTTAACATCACTCTCTAGCAGCCAGTTTCCAGGACAATAGTGAGGATAAATCAGCAGGGACACAGACTGCAATAGAAACACATTGTTTGAAGAGAATCAGTCAGAGTGATCTCTAATGGTTGCTGCAAGTTGAAATTCAGTACTTTAATTAAGCCCTACTAACAAAGAGAACATGCTGAAAGGATGATGATTTACATTGGGCAGTTGGCTAAAAGTGAAAGCATGTTGACAGTTTGACATTCTAAATTTTTCCTGTTTAATTATTTATTAATAATTTGTTTCTTATTCTAGTTTTTTTAGGTTTACAAAAATTAGCATTGAATACATAATTTGAATGAACCTATATTAAACTTACAATGTGTAAAGTGCTGAAGAATTAAGAGCACGCACTAAGAGGTGCTTGCACATATCTTACATTTTACATTTACATTCTGCCTTGGGAGACAGAAAGAGGGGAAATTCAAGATTTTATAGTTGCAATGAGTGCAAGGGTTGAATGAAAATCTTCCAATGGGGACAAATGTTCTAATGACAACTGTCTAAAATGGGCATTTCCCTTACTTTGAGGAGATTCACTCTCACTTCCTGTTGCATTTCAACCTTTTTTTGTTGTGTTTGTTCTACTATATACCGTCTGTGGTTTAGAAAATAAACTTTAAACACATAACAAAGGATTCCCAAACCACATTGGGTTAGCTAACTATACAGCATAGTAGTTACCTCCTTTCAGGTAGGCCCTGTCTGTTCCAAATCAGGGTACATTTTAGCTTGAGCTATGGTCTCTGTAAACAACAGGCATTTCACATCAAAGGGTTTAAGAAAACAGTCGAAAATGTGAAATAGGGCTTCAGACTAATAGAGGGAATGGAAAAAAAGAATGTGCAATATTTTATTTGCCTGAGAAAAATAGAAATAAAAATGTTTTACATTGTATTTAGTCCTGACTATAATAAAAAGGAAAACAAGAAAAACAAAACCTGTAAAAAAAGAAAATTCAACGTAAAAAAAAAAAAAAAATCACATTTGTAACTTTCCAGTTCCATATGCAGCCAGCAATGAAAACTAAAATTCACAAAAAAAAACCTCTTTCCTATGTAATTTTCTGAATTTCCTAAAATTCTGCACAGAGCTTGAGGTAAAATATCAGGCTCCCCATCACTGTCCTTCAGCAGTACAGTATATTCTATATACATACACGATAGATAGATAGATAGATAGATAGATAGATAGATAGATAGATAGATAGATAGATAGATAGATAGATAGATAGATAGGATAGATAGATTTTCTGTAAGAATTAAAATGAATATATACTATTTAACATTCTTGGAATAAAATGATCAGGCTTTCCAACAAGCACAGTTTCAATGTTTTAGCTAACTGGGAATATTTGAATATCAGGCATTAGTAATCCACAATTCATTGACAAAAAAACAGAAAGTAACCGTTAGCAGTTAACCTAGAAAGATTAAAGTGGCCATATATTCCAATTATTTGCTAAAAATGTACCATGAAAATGCACATAACATTAACTAATCTGATCTTGATTTATTACAGCACACAAATACAATTTAATTAGAGACTTTTGTTAGCATGAATATTACTTACCAAATCCCTTTGGTTATCTTTAATAGTTTTCCTTGTGTATTCACACTGTTGCTGCGAGTTAGTGCAGGAAGTCAGCTGTACCAATTCTCTGCCACTCCGCTACATTCTGAGTTGACAATGAAAAATGGGAATAGGGACTTCTTCAGTGAAGCTTATACATGGCATATACTGTAAATGTAATGACCTAGAAATGGTATCCAGAGAAACACCAGCAATATGTTACAGAGCCATATCACATTCTGTGCCACCGCTGTATTCCTGTTTGCATGGTAAATATGCAAAACTCAGTTCAGCAATTGGACTGATCTTGATATGGCTGAATCCTAACACGTACAGCATGCTAGCTGCTAGTCTTTTTAGAGCAGCCTTTAGGAACATGACAGTCCCACCCACAGAGTTCTGTCATAATGCAAAATCATACTGAGTAATACAGAGAAAGGGTGAATTGGTTAGAGTTTTTCCTTTGCAGAATGTGAACCAATTTACTGCAATCTCTGCAACTATTCTGATACCTACTTGTTATGACATCAATATCATTTTTATTTATCTTGCAGTGGTATGGTGGCCAACAAATCTTCACTTTTTAAAACGGAACTAAAGCCAAACCTTTTTTTTTCTGCTTTAGTTCTCCTTTGAGTCAAAGGAGTACATTTACTTATGTCCTCCTGTGACCCAAAGTCAGCATCTAGCAGGCTACTGCCCACTATATACTGACAACACAGAGCCGCACTGCAGCTGGTAAAGATCCCGACAATATTGTCAGAATCCTCCCTGCTGCCTGATTGACAGCTGATGCTGCCTCTCTAGAGCCACCTATAGCAGCCGCTGTTCTCATAAGGCAAGTGCTCCTACCAGTACTTGGATGACCCCAGGACGTAGACTATATGCTTTGACCAAGTGATGCCACAGGCCAGGCCCCAGGTCCCGAGCAGCAGTATGAACTGAAGAGGGAAGACACAACCAGAGAGTAGTCCAGGGACAAGCTGAGGCCAAAGGCTGGTTGCTGGCAAAGAGTAATCTGGGCACAGGCTGAGGTCAGGGCAGGTGGCTGGCAAGAGTAATCCGGGCACAAGCTGAGGTCAGGGATGGCAGCAGGCAGGTCAGAACCAGGGACAGACAAGATTTCCAGAGATATGTTGGGCTATCGCACAACTCATGTAGCAAGAACTATCACAAGCACAGAGGCACAGGTTGATGATGCTTAAATAGGGAGCTACCAGAGACAAGACCAATCACAGAGCTGGAGGTGTGAACAGATTCATTAAACCACAGCTGACTAGGCTAGTGCTGCAGCTAGCAAGACACACAGAGACAAGATAATTAACCCTCACCTGACAGTGCTACAGGCAGCAATACAGGCTGGCTGAATTACACAGGCTCCCTGACAGCTGGCCACTGCATAACTGCTATCTCCACAATCATTCACTTTAAAATATATGTAAACCCAATCATTAAAATCTCGTATATGTTTTAACAGGACAACCACTTTAATGCCGTTGTACATTTTAAAATAGTACTGTGGTGGGTGTGTATTTCTGGAGTGCCATTCATAAATGGCACTTCACAAAAATAACATGGGCGGCCAGTACTGCTCATGTCATAGATCCAATGTACAAAGCTGATCAGAGTGGTTCTGTGTCTTGTAATCACTGTGATGGTCAATCAC